CATAGGTTAGTACACGCGACCATAAAGCACAATGATTCCTGAGACAAAGAAGATTTACATAAACCTGCCCGCATGTGCCCAACCTTTCGACATTGTCCCTCCTTGTGAGTTTTATCTAGTGCCCTCGAGGAAGGCGACACTGGTGAAATCACACTTCGTATCATACTCATTCCGTGCCCATTATCTTCTCAGCGTTTGATCCCGCGCTCAGATAGTGCAAATCCAGTCTATGTTGAATGACACACAGATGCGAGGCCCATGCATGCGCGCCGCGAAGTGGGCCGAAGATTGATTTTTCGTTGAGCACCCCGTCTCGGTGGATCTCCGCTTTCGACGGTGTTTGAGCGATTTATGTGCAGTCGAGAAGCGGGACGTCCCTCCCAGTCAGAGCATGGACGGAGGTACCGCGAGAAGAAAAATGCAGTCGTCCTTGCAACGTCGTTCAAGGCCGCTAGAATATGGAATGGCATTCCAGCATCCGCTTGGGGAAGCATTGTCTTATGTCGTGACATAGCAACAGAGCAGGCGAGAAAATGCAAACTTGAGAGGGTCGAGGAAGCTCATGGCTGAGTTTCCAAAGCGCCACACCATCATTGCCGACTGGGCCCTGAACTAGAGTCGATCGAGGTAGACTTAGCCTTATAGCGGCTTTGGTCCTGTCACTATTGAAAGTGGATTGTCAGAAATATGAACGTTCGTGCAATTCGTCGAAACCTATCGCTCGCCGCTTGTACTGCAGATACGAAGACCAGACTCGTGTACCGATAATGGATGATGCTGCAATACTCTGCGAATATAGAATACTTATCTCAGCGCATGCTTTGAACGAGAGTCAAGGAGAATCACGAAGCGATGAACTTGAAGCGAGTTTGGCCACCGGGGCAAGCCGAGGACCACGTGAAGGCGATATCTGGCAAAATTTGCTGGTCGACCGCGACTTTGCACCACCTCAGTACTCGTTGTGCTTTCAGGGTGAAATGATCCTCACAAATCAACTTGGGCGTCGCCATCCCTTTTCAACTATCAGGCTTTACCGTGAACGACAGACGCAGGAGCAGGGCCGATGCTCGAGCTAGTAGTGGTGCGTGACTCTGACAGTAGTTTCTGATCGGCGCCTGGCTGAGTTTCGTGCTTTGACCTTCGTCTCGCTTCGCACAATGCTTGGACCGTAGCCAGAAGATTCGGTGTTGATACACTCTCACAGTGTAGTCCATCAAGTTTTTGATGCGTTATTGTCTTCGCGCATACTACAATGGGTCGCATCAGGTGTGTTATTCGACCATCGATCCGTACGACTTGGCCTGCAGGGCCTCAATCTAAAGTTGTAGAGGGTCTACTACTTGCAGTATTGTGAGCGTAGGTCGTAATAGAGCATACGACTCAGCTGTGGCCGTCTGTACAAGCTGTAGACGCTGGCAGATACCTATTCAGGCAACGCGAACGGTCCCCGACGCGTTTGAACTCTCCAGCGCAGAGCCCTTGCTCTATCGCATCGGTCATGTCTTCGTGGGTCTCCGATCTATGATCAATCTCGTCCAGATACCAGTGATTCTCTGTGTCGTTGTCTCCTGTCGAGATCGGTGATATGCGCTCTGCAAAGCCCTTCCCATGAACTCAACGTTGCTGTCGGATGCGCGTGATCGCGTGCCCAGACTTTTTTTTTTTCCAAAACACTCAGCGCATGATGTTCAGCGATATCTGCAGTGTTTCGCCACAGCTGCCGAAGCGAACTCTGTTCTAACGAGTCCACGTACCTGGACGAGGTTTTGCATTGTAGCGAACCTTTACGGCGCTAAACGTTGAGTACCAATGCAATACAGAAATCTCTGTTCGAACCGGAGTCATACAATCGATGGCGACACCAGACTGTCTGTGAGGTTACAAGCTAACGATCCAGGTCTTTACAGAGCGTCTACGGCCATGGGTATCTTAGACGCAGCTGCGGAAGAAAAGGCACGAGCCTTACAAGGCTGCGACGCATCGAGGATGGGTATCCAGGGTATAAGGTATGTGGGTATATTGATGCGTGCGTTCGAGTGTCTGAAGAAATCAATGCAAACAGAGGTTAGCGAGGAGGATCAGAGTCCAGAAGCGAAGACTTACGAAGGAAGATGAGCTCCAGACTCATGGGAAGGAAAAGAAACCACTTGGTAAGCATGCGTGTCTAGGTTCTTAGTGGTCGTTGTGTCCACCAGAGTCGGCGTGGAGTCTCTCGGCCTCGATACACTTCTTGTGCTGGTCTCTCACATGTCGAATCAGCGCGTCCTTTCGCGAATACCCCTTGTCACACATGGAGCATGGGAAGGGTTTTCGGCTTCTATTAGGCCTCAAAGGGCAGGAGTAGGCCATGTGTCGCTTGGTATCGTACCGAATGAGTGACTCGTGTCCGCAGTGAAATTCGCAGGGATACGTCTTAGGACCTGTGTTAGACTCGGAAGAACACTTGGCTTTCTTCACAGCGCAGGGTCTGTCGGCGCGGGCGTCGTCGGGCGCCTTCCGTTTCTGCTTGCGCA